GGCATAGGGAATTTAATTTGCAATAATTTAGCTTTATCACCCATTTAATTGGTTGCTTTATTATTTGTAAGCTATATTAAAAGTTTTGTTTTACTGTTTCTTAGGCTCAGCTAAGTAAAAGAAACATAAGTGATATTTATCTCCATGTATAATTATAGATTAGTTTTATTGAATTTATAGGCCAAGATGTGATCCCCCTCATTTCTAAGCTATAAGCACCAAATTAAAAAAACAAAAGACTATTTCAAATTTGTATGATAACTGGTAGAGTGAAATTGATAAATTTTATTGTTCCAGACATATGTTGTTAAAGTTATCTGCTTTATAAATCAACTTAATATATTTTTTTCCTGTCTGACTTGAGATTTGTTAGGGATACTGAAGTATATTTAAGATCTTTCTAAGTTATTTATACTTTGCAAGTTAAAGGGCTTCTTCCTTGGCAACTGAATGACTTAGGGGCCAATTTCTTTGTTTGTTATCCGGAATTAGTCTCCTAACCATTTGTCATCTGCCTCACAAATATACATTTCTAATCCCTAGAGTGTGTGAGAAAAGGAAGATGGCTTGGAATAAACATTTTTGTTGTTGTTTTTGAGACAGAGTCTCACTCCCTTGCCCAGGCTGGAGTTCAGTGGCTTAGTCTCATTTACTGCAACCTCCACCTCTCTGATAGCTGGGATTACAGGCACCAACCACCACGCCAAGCTAATTTTGGTAATTTTAGTAGAGATGGGGTTTCACCATGTTGCTTGGTCAGGCTGGTCTTGAACTCCTGGCCTCAAGTGATTTGCCCACCTTGGCATCTCAAAGTGCTGGGGTTACAGGCCTAAGACACTGTGCCTGGCCTGAAATAAACATTTTTATACTTAGCAAAACCTAGTTCCATTAAAGAGGTGTGATCCAAGTGACTTTTAACTCCTAGCAGTAGGAATTTACATGCCGGAATCCAGTGTTCTGGGCCCTTTCACTTCACCTCTGGCCTCAGTGAAATGATAGGTAGTAAAATCAACCTCACATTATATACTTTATATTAATGTTGTAGTCAGTTATCAAAGCACTCATTGAAAGGATCAATTTTACTTTCTTCTACATTTTTGAGTGTCAACAAGAGAATCTTATTTCCAGTCAAATAGGGACTCTATGCAGCATATATTTATTTTTATGTCTTTCAGTTTCTAATAATGATACTGGCTTATGTCCATGGCAATCCAGGCTATGACAATTCAAATGTTTTATTTACCCATTATAATAGATGGCACTAATCAAGACAGAATGCTTTCTTAGATACACTAATAATTAGTCTTGGCAGTAAACACACTAAACAGAATCATAGTTCATGACCAATTTTCTTTATAAATTATTATTTATTTATTTATTGAGATGTAGTCTCACTCTGTTGCCCAGGCTGGAGTACAGTGGCGCAATATCGGCTCACTGTAACCTCCACCTCCTGGGTTCAAGCGATTCTCCTGCCTCAGCCTCCCAAGTAGCTGGGATTACAGGCACCCACCGCCACACTCAGCTAATTTTTGTATTTTTAATAGAGACAGGCTTTCTCCATGTTGGCCAGGCTGGTCTTGAACTCCTGACCTCAGGTGATCCTCCCGCCTTGGCCTCCCCAAAGTGCTGGGATTACAGATGTGAGCTATTGCATCTAGCCCATGGCCAACTTCTATTCTGTTCTGAACATTAGCTTTTAGTTTCTGAAGGGTGTGTGTAAATACATGTATGTGTAAATACATGAATACTTTCAGAAACCACATACATACAGTTTTTTAAATGACCTAGGCCAAGATTTAATAGCATGGATTTAAAATTATAATTATATGCCTCCATTGTCTCTTGGCAAAATTCTCTAATGTTGTTTTATACCAGTTTTCTGCTTACGTATGTTATTTACTAGCTTTTGAGGACAGAGATGGCTTTTATTAATCTCTACATTCCCCATGCTAAGTATAGTATGAAGCACAGAGTGTGAAGGATGCTCAAAAAATGGGAATTGAGTGAATTAATTCCATGCTCAATAAATGAGAATTGAGTGAATTAATAAACGATCAGCAAACTAGTAGATTATATTTATGTCCACAGTTTGTTTCTTATCCTCATTGAGGGCTTTTTAAATATATATATATATATCTAAAAAAGGTATTAAAGAGATAATGGACACACCTATAATCCCAGCACTTTGGGAGGCTGATACAGGAGTATTGCTTAAGCCCAGGAGTTCAAGACCAGCCTGGGCAACACAGTGAAACCCCCCATCTCTATAAAAAATACAAAAATTAGCTGGGCATGGTGTTGCATGCCTCTAATCCCAGCTCTTCAGGAGGCTGAGGTGGGAGGATCACTTGAGCCTGGGAGATGGAGGTTGTATAAACCATGATCATGCTACTGCATTCCAGCCTGGGTGACAGAGCGAAACCCTGTCTAAAAATTTTTAAAAATTTAAAAAGAGACAGCGATTCCTTTGGAACGTAAGAATAAATGTTAGCATTATTCATCTGCTACATAAAAAACAGAAAGATGCAGTGGAAGGAGAGAAGGCCTTAGACTGGGAAGGATTTAGGCCCCTATTCTGGCTCCATTACTATGTCTGCGGCCTGACCCTAGGCAGTTACTTAAGTCTTCATTAAAGCTCTCAATTCTCTCAATGGCAAAATAAGAATCCAGACCTCTCAGGATCTGTGAAAGGAATAAATGAAGTGATTTTTTTAAAGTGCCAAGCACAGTGACACATAGGAAGTACTTAATGGTAGCTGTTTATTATTTTTTGAAATAGAGTCTTGCTCTGTAACCCAGGCTGAAGTGCAGTAGTGAGATCTTGGCTCACTGCAACTTCCGCTTCCTAGGTTCAAACAATTCTCCTGCCTCAGCCTCTGGAGTAGGTGGGATTACAGGCACGCGCCACCATGCCTGGTTAATTTTTGTGTTTTTAGTAGAGATGGGGTTTCGTTGGCCAGATTAGTCTTGAACTCCTAACCTTGTGATCCACCCACCTCGGCCTCCCAAAGTGCTGGAATTACAGGCATGAGCCACCACACCCAGCCCACTGTTACTCTCTTATTCTTCCTAAAGTATGGCTCTGATTTTGACACTGACATGTTCAAAACCGTTAGTAATTCCCCATGGCCTACCAAACCCAGTACAGATTTATAAACCTGTTTTAAGGCTCCTACCAGCCTGTTTCTGTTTCTCTTTCTGTCTCATGTGCGTGCACACATACACACTGCCCTGATCAGACTGGCCTTCTTACTAGCCAAGTGCTTACTGATGTGCCACATTCAGGTTTTTGTTCCATTTCTTTTGCCTAGTATGCCTTCTGTTCCTCATTGTCCAGAACTACCTCTAATGCCATCTTTCATGAGTCCGTCTCTGATTTTCCTCCATGCTACTCTCTCCTTTGAATACCCTAAATACTTGATTTGTACTTTTTCTTATTATATGATATTGTCTCTAATATTACATTACGGGATTTGTACTTGTCTAATCCATCTTGGAGGTCCATATTCTTAAAAGGGCAGTATCTTATACATCTAACCTAGTGTCTTGCAACTAGTATCTTAAATGTCGAATTATATGAAATTTAAATACTTAATTTAGGTTCAAAATAACATTTAAATTTGATTATACATACAATTTGTGTGCAATTATAAGATACTATTCCTGCCTGTGACGATAATGTGGATTCCTAAGAGAATAATTCACTTGTGACCCTGGCAGTTGGTAAATGTGATGCCGGTGATAGCAAGAATATGGAAACTTGTATGTTCATTTTTAACATTGATAATATTCTCTAAAGTGGCCTTTGACTCAGTGTTTGGGATTTGTTATTTTATTTCCTTCAGTAGTATTTTTATCAGATTGGTATTTGAAAGTTTGTTTTCCTGTCTCTTTCTTTCTTTCTTCTTTTTTTTTTGAGTCAGAGGCTTGCTCTGTTGCCCAGGCTGGAGTGCAGTGATGCGATCCCAGCTCACTGCAACATCTGCCTCCTTGGTTCAAGCAATTCTCTTGCCTCGGCCCCCCCCAATTAGCTGGGACTACAGGAGCAGGCCACCACACCTGGCTAGTTTTTTGCGTTTTTAATAGAGATGGATTTTTGTCATCTTAGCTAGGCTGGTCTCGAACTCCTGACCTCAGGTGATCCATCTGCCTTGACCTTCCAAAGTGCTGGGATTACAGGCATGAGCCACTGGGCACCTGGCCTGCTTTCCTTTCTCTAGCTGTTAGCAACAATTGAAATAAGACTGTCATTTGCAACAGAAGGTGGCTGTTTACTTGAGTCAGAGGTAGAGCCTGGGAGAGGGAGGCTTAGCACTCTGGTCTTCCAAAGCGATTTTTCTTACCGTGTGACTGTGAACAAATAAACGTATTGTTCCATCTTTCCTACTGTATTCTTCTCCACAGCACTTACCACCTTCTCACATGCCAAATATTTTGCTTGTTTGTCTTATGTCCCTACATGCAAACTTGTACATCCCAAAGCCCACACTGCATGCAGCCCAGGATGGCTTTGAATGGGGGACAACACAAATTCATAAACTTTCTTAAAATATTATGAGATTTATGCGTGGGCCTTTTTAAAAAAAAAAAATTATTTTATTTTTAGCCCATTAGCTATTGTTAGTATTACTGTATTTTATGTGTGGCCCAAGACCATTCTTCATCTTCCAGTGTGGCCCAGGGAAGCCAAAAGATTGGGCCCCCCTAAATTTTAGGGTCTATGAAAGCAAGTTTTGTTTTATTAATTGCTATATTCCCAACTCATAGAACAGTGCCTGGCAGTTAGTAGTTGCTCAATAAATATTTCTTGACTGACTAAATAGAGAAATTTGACTTTGAGAGTTCCTCTGATTTGTTGGCTAAAAATATTTCATTATTTCAAAAATAAGGAAGTCTCCAGACTGCTTTCCACAGTGGCTGGATTAATTTACATTCATTCCCATCGTCAGTGCATAAGCGGTCCCTTTTCTCTAAAGCCTTACCAGCATCTGTTTTTTTGTTGTTGTTGTTGTTGTTTTAATTTTTAACATATATATATATTGAGACAGAGTTTCACTCTTGTTGCCCAGGCTGGAGTGCAATGGCATGATCTCGGCTCACTGCAACCTCCACCTCCTGGGTTCAAGCAATTCTCCTCTCTCAGCCTCCTGAGTAGCAGGGATTCTAGGCATGTGCAACCACACTCAGCTAATTTTGTATTTTTAGTAGAGACAGGGTTTCTCCATGTTGGTCAGGCTGGTCTCGAACTCCCGACCTCAGGTGATCTGCCCACCTCGGCCTCCTAAAGTGCTGGGATTACACGCATGAGCCACTGCACCCAGCTAATTTTTTATTTTTTATCAGTAGTTTGAAAAACTACCTTTTGGGTACTATGCTCACTACCTGGGTGATGGGAACCAACCCCAAACCTTGACATCATGCAATATTCCCATGTCACAAACCTGTATATGTACCCCCTGAATCTAAAATACAAGTTGAAATTTTAAAAATAATAATAAAGAAATAAAATCCTAGCTGGGCGCCGTGGCTCACACCTCTAATCCCACCATTTTGGGAGGGTGGGACAGGTGAGTCACTCGAGGTCGTTAGTTCAAGACTAGCCTGGCCAACATGGTGAAACTGCATCTCTACTAAAAATACAAAAATGGGCTGAGCATGGTGATACACACCTATAATCTCAGCTACTTCGAGGCTGAGGAACAAGAATGGCTTGAACCGGGGAGGCAGAGGTTGCAGTGAGCCAAGATCCCGCCATTGCACTCCAGCCTGGGTGACTGAGACTCTATCTCAAAAATAAAAATAAAAATAAAAATCCCAAGGAAGTAAATGATAGCTTGGAAGAGTAGAATTCATCTGCACATTCTATTCTCAGGGTCTTACATTTTTCTTGGAGCAGCCTTGAATTTACTATATTTTTATTTCATTAAATACAAATAGAAGCCATTCCTACTACCACACCATACATGCAAGATGACCATATCTCATTCTGGCTAAAACCTAAGAAAACTCTGTTCACTGTAACAAAGTCTAATGGAAGCGTGACATTAGACTTTGTTAAGTCTTAGTCATTAAAGTCGAATAAGACCAAAATAATAATAAAATTCAGTACAGAGGCATTATCCCTTGAAAAACAACTTCACTTGTTTTGCTTAGATGCTGATATTGACCCTGAAAACTGGTCAAATCAAGCTTCTGATGTTAATTTGGGGTTGTTATCGGTATTCTGCATGTACAAGTAATTGGGTTTGAAATGTGTTTTAAGCCTGAATTAAAAGAACTTAGTCACAGATGATTCATAGTGAGAAGTTTTTCCTTTTCCCTGCTGGAACATAGGCTTTTACCTCCAATATGGCCTTTTTAAAACAATTAAAACATAAAAAACTCTACTTCTATGTGACCGTTTCTGGAAAAGTTTTGTTTAGGTTTAAAGTGGCGACCACTTATTACAATGCTGCTTAGTAGCTACACTAACTACAATTGAGTTTCCAAATTTCCATACAAATGTCTTTAGTCTCTGCCTTTATGGAAGTTTCCTTATTGTATGTGAGATCCTCAAAATTCACTAACTAGTATATGAATGACCACAGGGACTTTATTTTGTTCATTATTGTATTCCTAGTGCCTAGGACAGTGCCCTGCACAGAGAAGCCAATTAGTAAGTATTTATGGAGTGAAATCACACACCTTTTTTTTTTTGAGACAGAGTCTCGCTTTGTTGCCCAGGCTGGAGTACAGTGGTGCGATCTCAGCTCACTGCAACCTCCACCTCCCAGGTTCAAGCAATTCTCCTGCCTCAGCCTCCAGAGTAGCTGAGATTACAGGCATGCCACACCCAGCTAATTTTTGTATTTTTATTAGAGATGGGGTTTCACCGTGTTGGCTAGACTGTCTCAAACTCCTGACCTCAGATGATCCACCTGCCTCGGCCTCCCAAAGTGCTGGGATTACAGGTGTTGAGCCACTGCGCCTGGCCACATAGATTCTTAATAATAGTGCATCTTAGAAAAATAATGAAAGTATTGAAATAAATTTTATCCAGGTTTTTTGAATTAGGTAGTCATCAATTCACAATCAGCCTAGTTTGGGCATCTCTCAATATTAGCCCAAGGTAGTTCTGTCCTAACAGTTCCTAGCATTGATTGTGCCAATCTTAAATCTCCTTTAGTGGATCTCTTACAAAAGGAAGGGTAAATTGCCACCACCCATAGGCACTTGCACCTGTGGGAACCAATGGGCGTTGTAACAGGAAATACTTCAGCTTGCAATACTGTTAGTAACGTGTGGCACCAAGGTCACGCTGTTTTTATCTGCAGTTCCTTTTTAGTATTGTACAAAGTTTCTTGAAGATTTTTTAATAAATAAGTTTAAAAGAGAATTAACTTTCAATTTGAAAATTAAAAAACGGGAATGGTTGCCTTTTCTTCATTACCAAGGAAATGGTGAGTTTTCCTGTGAGTAAGTTGGTTCTTTTCTTTCTAATACTGTGTTCCATGAAACCTTACTCTGGCATGCAGAAAGGGAGAGTGGAGGGTGCATAAGTGTAAAAGAATTAAAACTTAAGCTGATATAATTATCAATCATAGTAACCACTTCTGATATCTGCTTCATACCATAACCGTGAGCATTGATAGAATTTCATAGATTTTTATATAAGATTAGCTTGAGCAAGTTTTCCTCTTTTGTAGGTACTGGGGTGGAAAATCTTGAAAAATTTTTAGAGAGTTCTTTCTAAAATGTCGAAATGCAAAGCTGTATAAATTGCTGTTGACGTTAGCTGTCTGACCAGGAAGTACTCTCTTTAAGCCTCACTTATAAAACTAAGTGTCTGTAATAACTTCCTTTCTCGGGATGAAGGTGCTGATAGCCTGGGTGTTCTTATAACTTGAGTTCAGTTTTATCCTTCCTGGGAGGAAGAGGCAGTTTTTTAAATGAAGCCATCTCTGGAGAAAGAGTATTGATTGTTGTAGCTAAATACAGAATTTTTAAAGTCTTTAGTATGTTGAACTGGAAATATAGGACATGCATTTGAGATCTACTGTAAGTAAGCATCATTGGTATTTTATTTTACATTTAAGGTTTTATTATAAATATGGTTTGTGTCTAAACGTTGTTTAAAAAATGAGTAAACTCTGTTGAATTTCATGTGAAATATTTATGGCCTTAGCTCGAAGTCCAGCTGAGAGTAATCAACCTCAAAAGTCATTGGATTCATATGCTCTATTTAATTTAATTTGTAGTTTGTTATTCTACAAATAAGAGTGGCAATTTTTCAAAAACAAATTAATTTTTTTTTATTCTCCTGGATAAGTAAGGTAAATGCTGAGCATAAAATAAAATATCAAAATTTTGTCAGAAGAGTATTTTAAACAAAAAACTTGACTTGTACTAAAGGTCATCTCAAATGGATGCAGTTTTTGCTAATGGCTATTATTACTTTAAAACAATATTTCAGAATCAAGCTACGGCACACTGTTCATCCTAGAGATCTTTAAAAGTAACAAGTCTGCCTCCTATTTTTCTTCATTCACAGCAAGGGAAAATAGTATAGAAAGAGCAGTTTCTTGAATGTAATACCAAATTTAGAGACAGAAAAATCAGACTGGTCACGTTTATTTTGTAACTTTTTAAATAAATTTAATACATAGATAGGGTTAGCTACTTATTAAAGCATAAGAATACAATATTTAGCTATTAGGTTATTAACAATTTATATGACTACTGTAGTCCATAAAATGAATTTAGATAAAGTAGGAAAATAGATACTTTTTTGTTTCACGTCTCATTATTTGTATGTTAAAAAGTTAATGTAAAACATGTTATAAAATCAGGAAAGCTACCTCAATAATTTCTTTACCAACTTCACTAGGCTCTTGGAATGAGGTTTGAATTAAATGCATAGGCTAACATGTGACTGTGATATCCAAAATCATAAAATTGTGTATATTAAATGTGTAAATTAAGTCTTATAATTATCCGTAGGATGTTCATTTAAGAAGCATTGCAGTGGCTATTACTGGGCAGGGAAGGGCTATTTTTTCTAATATATGAAAAAGGAAATTTTAAGTGTCAAATAATCTTTAAAATGTAATGTCATATATCATGTGCTTTTTCCTTAAAATTTATGAATGTTTAAAACTTAAAAGTACAAATTATACTAATTTCAGCTTTCAGAGAGAGGCCTTTTATGATTGTCTGAATGTTATATTAGCAGTCCAGAAATATCCCAGTCATAGCTTGGATGGGGGTGAAGCAGAGGAAGTAGGTGGTACTTCATGATGACAGATTACTGCAGATTATATGGCTGCTTTCCAAAATGACACTGTTGAAGGCAAAAGTAGAAGTTACAAACTGCATCCTATTAATTTGTACATGTTTATTTAACCAGTTATAACTATTTGCTTGTTTTATAGACAGATGATAAGTTTTAAACTCCTGAGTTACTTAATATGTGCTTAATCTTCTATAGTTTATTGTGATCATATTCCTTATCTCTGGTCTGCGAAGATCACACTGATCCTTTTGTAGAAAGCCACGTGTTAGCAGAAAAAAGATGGGGGAAGGACAACAGAATTTAAAACTACAACTGCTTTATTTTCTAGTTAAAAATAGTTCTGAGTTAAAATGTAAGGATGTCCCATCACATTTAGATAATTTGTATAAAATACAGCCTACTAATACAAGTAATCATATCTTATGAAAAAGTTGATAGTTCTAGATTATTCTGGTTTAGCTTGAAATTGAGATTCTTACTGTTGCAACATAAAAGGAAGCTTTGTGAAGGAAATATGACATCTCTGCCCAGATGCATAAGGAGAGAATTACAGTGGGGAGTTATTTTTAGAAGTATCTTATGAATACATTTTATGTACTGAGTACATTTTTTTAAAGGTTAGTTTCACTGGTAGGAGTTACACAAGTTGCTCGGGTCACTGAATATTCTATTAAGAAATCATTTTGATGTCACCAACCAACCTAGTTAGTCTTAAACTGACTGATCTAAGTAGTAGCTTATTTATTTATTTAGAGACAGAGTCTCACTTTGTCACCCAGGTTGGAGTGCAGTGGCACAATCATAGCTCACTGCAACCTTGAACTCCTGACCTCAAGTGATCCTCCTGCCTCAACCTCCCCAGTAGCTGGGACTACAGGCATGTGCCACCATGCCTTGCTAAAAAGTTTTCTTTTATTGTAAAGAGGGAGTCTTGCCGTGTTGCCTAGGCTGGTCTCAATTCTGGCCTCAAGCGATCCTCCTGTCTCAACCTCCCAAAGCTCTGGGATTACAGATGTGAACCACTGCACATTGCTATAGCATTTTTTAAAATGTGACCAAATTGAGGCTGGGCGTAGTGGCTTATGTTTGTAATCCCAGCACTTTGGGAGGCCAAGGTGAGAGTATCACTTGAAGCTAGGAGTCTGAGTCCACCCTGGCCAACATGGTGAAACCCCATCTCTACTAAAAATACAAAAATTAGCTGGACGTGGTGGTATAAATCTGTAATCCCAGCTACTCGAGGCTGGGTCACGAGGATCACTTGGACCTGGGAGGTGAAGTTTGCAGTGAGCCAAGATCACGACACTGTATTCCAACCTGGGTGACAGAGCAAGACTCCATCTCAAAAAAAAAAAAAAGAGTGACCAAATTGAGAAGACAGTGAGATCCTGTTAATACCATCAAATAGTAATGTAAGTTGCCCTACTAAAAGAGGGGAGGGGACAGTTAAATTCCTACTACATAGCAGTGTCCCAATTTCCTTCAGGAATAGAATGCCACGTTTTCAGTTCAAGGAAAAGTTGGAAGTGAGTCAAGGAATCTATCATTTGTATCACACAATTCTTAGAACTGCTGCTCCTCCCTAACTCCTTTAAACGATCAGCAGCATGTCCAGGTTTCTTATATTTCTTTTGGTTTCTGTCACATAGGTTTGGGATTGGCAGTATAGATTTAGAGTGTGGCAGATAAACATGACTGCCACCTATTAGTTTTGTGACTTTGCACAAATCCCTTAACCTCTCCCAAACCTCAGTTTGTTCTTCTGTGAAATGGATATGATTATGGTACCTACCTCACAGGATTGTTGTGAGGATTAAATAAAATAATGTATGAAAAGCACAATTTTGGCCACATGTTGTAAAGGAAGAGCTCAGTGTGTGAGAATAGTTATGCTTATTTTTACCATTTTTGGATATTTCAGTTCTCATTCACAGCTTCATCAGAAAATGATCATGGAAAGATATAACAACATATGGCGTTCTGTGTAGATAATAAAATCAGTGTTATGATAATAGAAGTATTTAGAAAGTACCAGGGAACACAGGGATGAAATCCATCGATCTTATTTATACCCTTCCTCTTACCACGTTGTGTACCACCCATTCTAAGGGGATGGGAAGAAGGAGGCAAGGACTGACTGTAGATTTAATAATTATTCATCAAAATGATTATATAATCTGACAAATTTCACATTAGTAACATTTTTCATTTCATTTTAGTTGAGATTATTTCCTCCCAGTTGAATAGAACAACTCAGGAACAACATGGTGAACTGTTGGTTTCTTAAAATTTTATTTTCTCGGCCAGGCACTGTGGCTCACGCCTGTAATCCCAGCACTTTGGGAGGCCGAGGCAGGCAGATCATCAGGTCAGGGGTTCGACACAGTCCTGGCCAAACATAGTGAAACCCCATCTCTACTTAAAAAAACAAAAAAAAACAGCCAGGCGTGGTGGCAGGGTCCTGTAATCCCAGTTACTCCGGAGGCTGAGATGGGAGAATTACTTGAACCTGGGAGGTGGAGATTGCAGTGAGCTGAGATCATGCCATTGCACTTCAGCCTCAAGGACACAGCAAGACTCCATCTTAAAAAAAAATTATTTTCTCAGTAGAGTGTGTTTGTTGTATTCTGAGTGCGCTACACAGATAAAGTTAGGACTGTGTCTTAAGATTTTATATCAGCTAAAAAAATTTTTTTTGTTTTGGTGACAATAGAATATAGATATTTACATGTGTATTTGAATACAATAGTCACCTCTTATCCTCAGTCTTGTTTTCTGTGATTTTAGTTACCCATGGTGAACTGTAGTCTGAAAATACTAAAGTGGCAAATTGCAGAGATAAACCATTCATGTGTTTTGTTTTATTTATTTTGAGACAGAATCTCACTTTGCCACCTAGGCTGGAGTGCAGTGGTGTGATTGTAGCTCACTGCAAACTCAAACTCCTAGCTAGACTCAAGGGACCCTCCTGCCTTAGCCTCCCAGATAGCTAATTAAAAAAAAAAAAAAAAACATTGTAGAGGTAGGATGTATTAGTCCATTTTCACGCTGCTAATAAAGACATTTCCAAGACTGGTAATTTATACAGGAAAAAGGTTTAATGCACTCACAGTTCCACATGGCTGGCGAGGCCTCACAGTCATTGGTGAAAGGCAAAGAGAAGCAAGTCACATCTTACATGGATGGCAGCAGGCAAAAAAGAGAGCTTGTGCAGGGAAACTCCTCCTAATAAGACCATCAGATCTCATGAGAGTTATTCACTATCAGGAGAACCTCACAGGAAAGACTCGCCCCCATGATTCACTTACCTTCCACCAGGTTCCTCCCACAACATGTGGGAATTGTGGCAGGTACAACTCAAAATGAGATTTGGGTGGGGACACAGCCAAACTATATCACAGGGTCTTGTTATGTTGCCCAGGCTGGCCTCAAGTGATCCTCTGGCCTTGGCCTCCCAAAGTGCTGGGATTACAGGCATGAGCCATTGTTCCTGGCCCCATTCATGAGTTTTATATTGCTTGCCCTTCTGAGTAGTGTGATGAACACTGCTGACCTACTCCTTCTATCCAGGGAAATGAATTATCCCTTTGTCCAGCCTATCCACATTGTAGATGCTACCTGCCTGTTTGTCACTTAGTAGCCAGCTGTTTTGGTTATCAGTTTGGCTGTTTTAGTACCTCAGCGCTTGTGTTTAGGTAACCCTGATTTTACTTAATAATGGCTCCAAAGTGCTAGAGTATTGTGCCTAATTTATAAATTAAGCTTC